CATATCACCTGAAAATGAATTTCAATTTGGAGAAATTATTTTCATATCTTACTTGGTTGGTGAATATATTCCTAGAAATGGGAGCCTAGTAAAATCAGTCCTATATGTTGTTGTATGTTAGTTCCAGGTGGTGATATGGAGTTGCACATATTGGTAGTTGCTTTCCAAATCACATCATGCCTCTGGCCAAAATTCTCTGCAGTTATAATTCATAATCCTTTTAGGCAATTCTCCGAGGCTTGTACCATAGGATTTCCACCAGTACATCACTGTCTGTTAATGTTTGCGCAATCACTTTCTTGGAAGGGCATCTAGGTGCCATGGAACATGCACTATAAAACARTGTTAACCTTTTCTTTACTTTTTGTCTTTTTTGCAGCTTTTGTTTTTGTCAGTGACTGAAAGCCAACTCTGTTTGATAAAACATGAACAAATGAACTCAAAGAATGCCACAGAGGAGTAAAAGCACATGCTAAAGAACATAGTCACTTCACAAAACCACTGTAGAGTACCAGTGGCTGAGAGGAACTATGTTTTATCCCAGCCCCTGCTCATTTAGACAGCATAGTTAATATTCACTTTGGCAGTATAAAGCAACAGATTGTTAAATGTGCCTTGACAAATATTTCGGAGACAAATCATATTATTACAAATCAGCGTCCTATCAGAGGTGAGAGAATTAAATGGGTTACTTGTGTGTTTTTCCTTCACTGGCCTATAGATGATTCTTATTTCTGCAATGAAGATTAAGGATATATCCCTGATTTCAAACATTATCCTAATTTCATATGATTTTTTTTTGTAAAATAAAGCCAGCACAACAGTAATCTCTTGGGGTTAGCTATCTTTATAAAGCATTTGATTCTAGGATGGTAACTTAATTAGGGAAACATAGAGTTTGCATCATTTAACAAAAGAAACAGATGCAATGATTAATAACCTAGATCTCCTAAGGTCTTTACCTTCATATTTTTAGACAACTTTACCTGGATAATACTAATTGAACATTTCTCTGAGCTAATTGTCTCTTGCTACTCCTTCTCCTTTGATCAAATCACTTCAGTCCCCAAACCCAGGATTAATCTTGTATGGTGACTGCCACTGCTCTAGTTCAGGTCATTTTGGTCCAGAGGGTTCTGGGAACTCTTTTATTCACACTACCCTCCATGCTTTTGTCAGACTGATTATTATAAAACACAGACTGGTTGAGGAAATTTTCCTGTTTAATATTATTTATTAACTCTTCTTAGTCAACAACACTAAACGCAAGACTTATACTTAGAATAAAATCTAACTTAGCATGGATGACCAAGTCCTTTTGTCTTCTCATGACCAGCTTTGCATTACCTTTCACCACTTTGCAATGTTGAACCACCTATAGCTTCTAAAATATGTCATGCTTTCACATACTTCAATCTGTGCTAATTTAATTTCCTCTGTATATTTTTTTTTCCTTCATTATGTGGCTATTTCTCCTTGTGCTTCAAAACTCATTTCCATCAGGAGCTTCTCCTAACTAAGGCCTCTGTGCTTGCAGTTTACATAGAACTCAACCATTTTATAAAGCTGGTTTCTGCCCTCTCTGCTATACTGGAGCCTCACTCCTGTGGCCTCAGTGTCTGGCTCTCAGCAGGTACACCACAAACAGGGGCTGAACTGAAGTTCAAGTTTTCCTCAACTTTTAACCCCATCCCTTCTCTAATGTCTTAAGATAGATTTGTTYATTCTTTTCCTTTTGCTTTCACAATACCTCATAAATCCTGCTATGAACCTACTTACAGGTATTACAACTGCATATTTATCTCTATAACAGCCTTGAAGCACCTTCATGACTGAAAAATGGTTCCATCTTTTATTGTTCTCAGTATTTTGCACACTGACTGGCCCAGAGTGAGCACTTATAAATCCTGAATAAATGAATAAACTAAAAAACAACAATTACCTGTTTACAGAAGTTTCTAAATATGAAATTCCCAAGGCATCTTAGAATCAATCATAGAGAAAACCTATGTGTTTACATGAAAGAGAACTCGACTCTTTGCATAAAAGTCAATAAAGTTCTTTTAAGTGTGAGTCAGTCTAAAAAAGCAAGTGTTTACTTGTACTGCAACCACGCTGAAAATAAAGCTTTCTATTATTTCTGTGTTACCAAATAAAAATCTGCCCATGGAGAAAATGTAGTAGAAAAAAAGTAAGCTCTGAAACATACATCAAACTTCCTGTTTTATCTACTCTAGTTTTAAAGCAGTAAAACAATCTTTAAAAGAAAGATATGTCTTTTAAAGAAATATAGTAAAAGAATCTGTTTCAACACAGGGAACTTATTCCTGTTGAAGTGCTATCATTTTGCAGCTCAGTAAACTTTCCGATTTTATGGTACTATAACAAACATTTATCTAAATTAGAGTTCATGAGATCTAAAAGTGCTTTTCAATCACAATATCCTTTATGAATTAAAGTTTCATTCATCAAAATTACAGGCAAAAAGTGGTAAGGTCTCAGAGGGCTGTCTCATTACAAGGCTAGTAAACACTGTCCTTAGAAAGAATTGGTTTATCACCCAACAAATCAAAATCTGATTGGGAAGAGAATTTATTTGAGATAATCTATCTTCAGAAGACATGTCGAACGGAGTGCACTTCTTGGCCTCTTTAGCCATTCATCAAGAAATTAACAAGCGAACCACAAACCATCAGTATGCCTTGGTTTTGAAAATGTGAACTATGTGTGAAGCTAGATAGGAGAGATGTGTATATGCCTACTTTCTCTGAGAATATTAAAATGCCATAAAATTTTAAAAGTTTTAGAAGAAAAAATGCCACCACTTCTAGATTAATGAAGTCAAATCCAACTCTAGATTTTTTTCAGATTATGTTAMAAATGACAAACACATGAAAACATTAAATATATAGATTTATTAATAAAGATAAATACCTGAAAAAGGTTTGTATTTGAAAATGTCATCTAATATACAATACTGTATCAACTGAACCTAAATTTCCTTTTTTATAAAATTTCTCTTAATAACCAGGTATCCATGTTTACATGTACCAAGTACATTTTAAAAGTGAACTAACAGGCGAACTAAAATTTTCCTAGTATGATTAATATACTTATATTATTATTATTACTATTATAACTATATTATTATCATTTTAAAGTGTTGTGATTTTAAATAACATACAGAAATGACAAAGTGGATATTTTAACTTATCTAAATAATATTAAAGAATCTATCTACCTGGAATGTCCAAAAATCAAGGTCGGGAAATTAGTTCATTTTCTCATTGTTATTTTTCACTGATAAATATAAACAATTAATGTATAAAATACTAMCAAATTGTTTATTTATGTTTAAGGAATTATCATATAGTCAACTCAAAAACATCAATACTACTAAGGAAAAAATAATTCACAACAATAAATAGCCATAAATCATACATGTGATTAATACACAAAGAGAAAAGGTACCACCCTGTAATAAGCTAGTTTTAGTGTAGCAAATACTTCTACGCTATTATTATTCATAGTGAGTATGATACTATGAATTAATGTCATTTATACAAGTTATACA